TTCAAAATATGATAAAAATATATTTAGGTAAAATATTTATTTCTTTCAGGCTCACATTCAATATGTAACAGAGTCAAATAATCATGTCTATTGCCACAAAAAGTCTTAAGATCTCTGCAATGCCCATCTATCAGACACCGTTGCGCTGAATCAAACAAATGAGTGGCATAACGGTGCTATTACTTCACTCAATCAAATAAGGTCTGAACCAGTTTGAAACTTGATTTGACTCATTGGAGATATGCACCCATCCTAAACAGCCGACTTCAACTCTACTCGTGGCCCACAACTAAGCCACTCCATCAACTTGACCCTGCCAGCAACCGGTGAAACGGCAACCGACCCACTGTTATCTAGCATTCTTTTCATTTAATTCCTTTGCTTAATATTTTGTTATGTTTTTCTAGTGACTTAATCTGCTACTATGTTACAGATTTTATGGTTTCGGGGTTGAGACTTCGATGCAGAGCTTAGGATTTGAGTAATAGAATAGAATCTACTTGTAAATGTTCAATGGTGTTTGACTTGAGCTTTCCACTCTTGCTACCATAGTGTTTTCTGGGTTGGCATACATGAAGATGATCCAGTCATTTGTTAAGCATCTCAAAATAAGACACCCTAGGATTTTTTTTTTGTCTAATTAGATTATTTGGTCTTTGAGTATAAATACTAATATGAGGTAAGCACGAAGGTTCTAGAGGCTACAGATGATATAAGTCTATCACTATGCTTGAGAGTGTTCCAATCACTCCTGCGCTGGCCATATATTTTGTATTTACCACATTTGAAATAATAATAAATACCTTTCTAAGATTCATGAATTGATACAATCTGTTTTAATTTTCGAAGGAAACGGTAAGGATATTCGCTTGTACCCATCTGAATGCCTTCTGGTTTCATAGATATGGTTTTCTGACATTGAACGGCTAACTTGCGAAGACACATTAAAGATAAATAGGTTTAGGCAACTGTTTTTGTAATTCCAACGCTTGAGCCTGGGCAGGGTTAGCTTGATACGGTTTTGCGAGACGGGTGTTGAGCTGGAGAGCAGCAGGACGAGTGAGACCCAGAGTGGGAGGGAGCAGGGCGGTGGATTTAGGTTCCCACCGCACCCGCCGCCAGGTTGTGGCTGGCCTGTGTCAATTAAACTCTTTACTGAGATAAGATCCAGTATTAGTTTGGTGTACTTTGTTGTTGTTTTTTTTTTTGAGACGGAGTGTTGCCTGACACCCAGGCTGGAGTGCAGTGGCGCGATCTCGGCTCACTGCATGCTCCGCCTCCCAGGTTCTCGCCATTCTCCTGCCTCAGCCTCCCAGCAACCGAGACTACAGGCACACGCTGCCACGCCTGGCTAATTCTTTTGGTATTTAGTACAGACGGGGTTTCACCATGTTAGCTGGTGATGGTCTTGATCTCCTGATCTCAAGGATCCACCCGCCTCAGCCTCCCAAAGTCCTGGAATTACAGGCGTGAGTCACCGCGCCCAGGCAAGGATGCCTAATCTCTAGCCAGTGTTTGCCTTTTGATTGATAGGCGAGTTGCTTAGTTACTTTGGCCCTTGTGTGCTTGCATGTTGCCTCCATCCCATAATTTTAAGTACATGCATGATATATCCATATGCATCAGCTTTAATGAGCTGATTATCATAAGGAAGTCATGTTAAGGATACTTTTTCTCTCTAATCCACACGCCTATCCCTGAGGAGCTGCCCCTTTACTGGTTTGGATCTTGCTGGCTGCGGGCTCTGCTTGACTTTTTGATAAAGACAGGTCTCCTCTGTTGGCTGGCCCGGAGTGCAGTGGCACGATTCTGGCTCACTGCAACCCTGCCTCCCAGGTTCAAGCAATTCTCCTGCCTCAGCCCCTGAGTAGCTGGGAGTACAGGAAGGCACAACCATGCCCAGCTAATTTTTTGTATTTTTAGTAGAGAAGGGGTTTCATCATGTTGGTCAGGCTGGTCTCAAATTCCTGAACTCAGACAATCCACCCACCTTGGCCTCCCAAACTGCTGGGATTACAGGTGTGAGCGGCTGCGCCTGCACTTGCTTGTTTTTTTAATCTTACTTTTTGTTTTGGCTGCTCAACTTCTGCTTTTTATCTTGCTTCTTGCTCTCCCATCATCTTGCTTCTGTTTCTGCTTTTACTAATTCTGCCTTTTATCCACCTCCAGCCCTCTGCTGCTCTCCTGCCTCATAATGCAGTTAGTGAGGGGAGGAGTCTGGCGGGCGTGTCTGACCTCCTATCCTGTCACAGCCAGAAACAGCTTTCAAAGGAGTCCGTTCAGTTGGTTGTAGGGCCTAGGGCTTATTTTTCTCTCTCAATCCTGACAAGGGAAGGCTGGATTAATGAAGATTCTCTGCAGGTATAAATCCACAAAAGAAGTTTTGGTAGAGTTACTTGTTTGCCTCTGACAGCCATCTTAAAATATGCCAAAGACACATATTCTGGGGTAAATGTTTGATTTTCTTTATCTACATCTTCACCATGCTGACAGCCTCCAATGAGCATACCTGAAGCCTTTCTTTAAAAAAAAAGCTTTCCCCACCTTTCTGCCTGCCTCAAGTTTCTGCCAAAACACAAGTAACAGTGGCTGACTCTGTGCTGTAGCAAGCTCAGAATAAATAGCCTTGTTTTTCCCATTCCATTGGTCTGCTTATTTGTAAAAGCTCTATAGAGTTGACAAGGACTCCATCTTTTACCAAACGCTATACCGTTTCCGAGCCCTTTTCTCTCATTAGTTCTTGGCCTGCTAAGTCCAGTTTTTAGAAAAGAATACCGTTGAGCCTAGTTTAGCAATAGTCCTCCCAACCACCTTTGGTGAAGTAATCAAGTTCCTCTTAGTAATTTTCATCCACTGACTTTCATCTTGATGGGTTTTCAACTAAGGAGGAATATTCATGACAAAATTCTGCAAAGGTGGAAATGTCTCTTGCAACTGTGGTGCCATCCATTTCTACATCAAACACTGGTCTCAGAACTGTCATGCACTGGTGGGTGTGATTTTAGTATGTTAAATATGCATGAGGGGTTTAAATTAAGACACCCAGTACTAGATTAATGAGAGCGGAGGAAGGAGCCGAGATGGAGTGTGAGAGGCCTGGACAGTTTATAGCGCTGTCAGGTAATCTGCTGCCTAGAATTTGTTATCCTGTGACCACCTCTGTATTATTCCTGTCTCAAATCTACTTGTAAATATTCAAATGGTCTTTGACTTGGGCATGCCGAACTTTTGCTTACTTCACAGTGCTTTGCGTTATAATCCAACATAAGAAAAGATGATCCAGACATTTGCTAAACATCTCAAATAAAAATGGATCCCAGGTATTTGTGTCAGATTGATTATTTTACTTTTTTCTTTGCAGAATATAAAAACTAACATGAGGTAAGCACTAAGATCTGAGATGGCGTATGATGACAAAGTCCAACACCATGCTTGAGAGTGTCCAATCATCTCTTCAGGGGCAGCATATTTTTCTACAGTACTGAATTTGGAAAAACAGTAACAACATCCAAAAAAAGTGGATTGAAGGCTCAAGGTTCTTCGTCAGTACTGGGATATCCCCTGATGGCACCGACGCCACCGCAAAGCCTGGCACCATCATCAGCATTGCAGCGCCGCTGGCCTGAATGCCGCTGCCTACAGTCAGGCCTAATCCTCCCGCACCTTCCTCAAGAGTAGCTAAGGTCGGATACCATGTTGTCTGCAGCTGCTGTCGGAACTGTGTTTGGCCTCACTTGCATCAGCGCTGTCTCACAGGAAGCCCGATCTCCTGAACTACTTCTCGGTGGATGCGCCAGAGGCCTGACTCTGGGGCACGACGCACAGTTATGGGATCGGCGCCACGCCGCGCAGTATTTAGCGTAACGCCTCCTGGCCGGGAGATGTAAGTCAGCCGGAGGGCTGGGAGATGTTTGCAAAACCCAAGGTGTGAGTCCACAGCCGACCCTCCAGCTCAGAGAATGCACCAGAAATAAATTCTGTGTCTAAACAAACAAACAAAACTACAAGATTCATGTGAAACTGGACAACTGTCTTTATGTCTTTATAACATTATTTCAGTGATAAAACCAGTAATACAAGGCTGGTTTGCAGTCATCTGAGCAGCCTCTTTACTTACAACAGGGTTTCTCTGATATTAAACGGCTCTAATTTCTTTTTTTTTTTTTTTTTTTTTTTTTTTTTTTTTTTTTGAGACGGAGTCTTGCTCTGTAGCCTGGGCTGGACTGCAGTGGCTGATCTCAGTCACTGCAAGCTCCGCCTCCCGGCTTACGCCATTCTCCTGCCTCAGCCTCCGAGTAGCTGGGACTACAGGCGTCTGCCACCTCGCCCGGCTAGTTTTTTGTATTTTTAGTAGAGATGGTTTCACCGTGGTACACAGATGTCTGATCTCTCCTGACTCGTGATCCGCCCGTCTCGGCCTCCCAAAGTGCTGGGATTGCGCTTGACACCGCGCCCGGCCACGGCTTCCAATTTCAAGCGGGAATGCTGCATCCTCCCAAGGATATGGATGCAACAGGAAGCGGTTTCTTTTGTAATCCTTAAACATCTTATTCAGTGAATTAAAAGCCATTATTTGAAGGCATAGTCTCGCAGCTCCATCTGGCCTTCTCAAAGGTTGCTCCGCAACACACCAGCTTTCAAGGAGAGAACACATGCGGAGGCGGAGGAAAAAGGAGAGTCGACGTCACTTCTGGGCTCCTGGGTAGTGGCTGGCTCGCTGAATGGCAGAAAGGCAGACGGGGACTGGGAAAGGTACTATCGGTGACATCACGGAGAGGGCGACTTCTTATGTAGATGATGCAGCGCAGGGGCTGCTGCTTCCTACCTGCTGCTTCCACGAAGGAGTTCCTGCGCCGGGAGCGTTCGGGACCGGGCTGGTCGGACCTGGAGAGAGTCCCAGCCGTGTGCCAGGGCTAGAAGGGCTCGAGTACGCGGGCAAGTGGACCTTGTGTGTAAAGGTGGACGTATGAGGCTGTGGCGGGGCGGAGGTGCCTGAACTCATACTTCATCAAAGGGGAGATACCATGATCACGAAGGCAGGTTTTCCAGGGCGAGGCTTATCCATTGCACTCCGGATGTGTTGACCCCCGCGATTTCCCCAAACGTGGGAAACTCGACTGCACACTTGTGGTAGTGGGGATCATGTTCGCGCTTTCCCTGACTTTCTGTAGTTTCAAAGAACAGACTATCATATTGAAGGCGGCGCAGTTAGCTTTATTGGTTTTTGTTTTGATCGTTATGTTATTATATTTAAAAGCTGTGGAATAGAAGTAATATTATTCTCTCTGGCGAAGGAGGAGTAAGAATTGGTCAGGCTTACTGCAACCGAGTTAGCGCGAATAATTTTAATGCCGCACAGCCTTAATGTGGGGCTGCGTTTTGCAGACATTGGTCCATGGTCTCCAGTGTCTTGCGTTCTCACGCTGTGTAAAAATATTCGTATTTTCCCCTAGTCCCCAGTCACCTTTTTACACAGCCTGCTTCTAACCGCAGTCCCCAGGAGTTTGTAGGATTTTCAGCAAGTGGGAATGTGTTCTCGCACTATAGAGCCAGGTACAACCATGCCACCGGCGCTGTTCTTTGAAAGAAAGACGGTCTTTGGGGACTTGAAAACTCGTTTATTGTAGATTACAACACTTACTTTCGAAAGCGAACGGCTTTCCCGGCGCCCAGACCCCAACGCATATTCACGAGGCCCGCAGGTCAGAATCAACCTCAGTCTCACCTTCTTGACCGAAAATGGGCTGCGATCCTCCCTGAAATATAAGTGGAAAGTTTTATGAGGAGCCGGGTCCAGTTTTCTTACTATTTTGCCGTTTATATCTAGTCTTTCTTCGTCTTTATTAACGACAGCTTCTTTAATGATGTCTCGTTTGCATATCCTACATCCAATGCCAGGGAACTTTCAAGGTAGTACTCTACCCATCCTTCCCACCCCCAAGCAGCCCTTCCTATTTCTGGCGCCAGTGTCCTTCCCTGTCCCCTTTCTTCTGTGCCTCACAGATCACCTTCACAGACAGAAAATACTTAGCCTTCTCAACCTGAGGTTTGCACTTTGACATGCCAGTACCCTGGCAAATTCTTTAATACCCCTTCTTAAATGGCACTGTAAATTCATCTCTTTAACTCCCAAAGTACCCAATTGGTTTTGTCTCGTACCCAGCATGAATACTAGTATCCACTACAGAAGAAAACCCTGAGACTACAGCAATGGCGGTTCTGGGCATTGTGCCAGCCTCTCCTAGGTATGTTTTCTGACCTCACCGCTTCTGATCAACTGAGGTCAGGAGTTCGAGGCCAGCTTGACCAACATGGTGAAACTCCGTCTCTACTAAAAAATACAAAAAAAAAAAAAAAAAAAGGCTGCTCTGGCCTATGGAGTAGCCATTCTTTTTTGTTTTTACTTCTAATAAACTTGCTTTTACTCAAAAAAAAAAAAAAAAAAAGCCAGGCTTGGTGATGTGTCTGTAATCCCAACTACTCAGGGAGGCGGGAGGCAGGAGAATCTCTTGAACACAGGAGGCGGAGGTTGCAGTGAGCCAGAGATCGCCATTGCACTCAGCTGGGTGACAGAGGATTTCAGTCTCAAAACAAAACAAAACAAAACAATCTAGCCTATCTGAGTATATATTATTGGAGACAGAATCCTCTATGGCCCAACAAGCACTTAGTGCAGATCTGACTCACTGAGCTATTGGGCTCAAAGTGTTCCTCTGTTCTATTAAGTATCAGGAGCAAAATTGAGCTTTATTTTTACTCACTAAGTATGGCCATAGGACAGGGTCTTCTTTCATTATTGCACTGGCTATTTTTACAGTGTGGTTTTTATTTTGATGTTATGAAGTGAATTTCTGGGGACAAATTCCTGATGGGTGGTGTTGACAAGGATCCAGTCCCTGTTTGGTGATACATGACAGCTAATCTGCTCTGTGAGTCTCTTTTATTGTCTATTTATTGTCCTGGAGAATAATGTTACTCTGACATTTGAGACTGCAGCAATGGTGTTGTTCACTTAATCTTTCAAAGCCTAAGGAAAATCAGGCCCAGCAGTTGTCAAATATCTGCAAGACACATCATCATTACAGAGATCTTACCACTCAATGTCCCTCCCACCCAACTCAGACCTACAGAAGCCTGGCCCTAAACAAACCTGCTCTCTATCCAAAAAGTTAATAATTCATCTATGATGGAAACCAAACTGTACATGTAATACAGCTTTTGATTGGTATATCTATGTCAAACTAAATGGAAAATGTAACACATGTCTTGGCGATCAAAGTTTAATCACACACACAAGTTTACATAACATCACGCTAATCCCAACCAAGCACACACCCCTCAAACCAATCAAAAAACAATCTGTCAATCAAACTGATATCAGATTTTCAGCGATGAAGGCCTCTCTAAGGACTGAAGGAGGTATATGGGGTTATTTACTGATAAACATTGTTAATAGATACCATTGCCTCTGTTTTCACCCCAAGGATGTTACTTTTAGTACAATTGCTTCTTTAGACACTTCCAGTTTGGTGGAAGAAATTTTCCCGGTTTATAACATAGGATATTTTTCTCGCTGAAGCAAATTGGCATACTCTCAGTGAAGTGAATAGACAAATTAGGTCTCTAAAATTTTAAAGGAGCTACTGCCCCAATTATTTTAGAAATACAATAATCAATAATATAAAATTAAAATAAGAATATTATTATATTGTGGTTTCAGATCTGCAATCCCAGCACTTTGTGGAGACTGAGGAGGAGGATCAGTTATGTTAGGAGTTGAGACTGAAGCCTGGGAAACATAGTGAAACCCCTGTCTTGCCAAACTTAAGTATTAGTTAATATTTTAAAGTTGGCCAGGCATGATAATGCATGACTGTAATCTCAGCTACTAGAGAGGCTGAGGCAGCTGCAGTGAACTGTGATTGCACCACTGCCCTCCAGCCTGGGTGACAGATTGAGACTCCCAACTCAAAAAAATAAAGAAAGAAAAGTTAAGAAAGAAAGAAAGAAAGAAAGAAAGAAAGGAAATTAAGAATTTGTTGTAAATTGTTTTACTACAATGCTAGGCTGCATGTCCTGTGCCTGTACTCCCAGCAACTCAATAGCTGAGACAGAAGGATTGCTTTAGGCCAGCAGTTGGAGACCAGCCTGGGCAACAGGGCAAGACCCCATCTCTAAAATTATACAAGGCAAGCTGAGCCAGGAGGATAGCCTGAGCCCAGAAGTTCTTGGTCAAATATGATAGCCCCGCTGCACTCTAGCCTGATAACAGAGCAAGACACCTGTGCCTTATTTTTATTTCATTTTACTTTTTTACTACGATTTATTTATTTACTTTGAGACAAAGTGTTGCGCTAGAAGCCCAGGCTGGAGTGCAGTGGTGGGAACTTAGCTCACTGCAAGCTCCGCCTCCCAGGTTGAAGCTATTTCCTGCTCAGCTTCCAGAGTAGGTTGGGATTACACAGACCACTCACGCCCAGCTAATTTTTATAGTTTTAGTAGAGCCGGGTTTACCATGATTACAGACTGGTCTCTGCAACTCCTGACCTCAAGTTATGCAATCTGTTTTGCCTCCCAAAGTGCTGGGATTACAGGTGTGAGCTACTCAAACAGCCTACTTATGCTTGAAATGTAAGTTTCATTAGGAAAATTTTTTTAGTTGAATTTCTAGCATGAAAAAATAATAGATTTAGTCAGGACAAATTAATGGTCTTGATCGCTTGGTACAACAAAATAAATGAAACAGTTGATAGCAGAGAGGAATCTGATGCTTTTGAACAACTTAAAATAATGTAAATATTTAATATATAAAGAGATTTTCATCTCTTTACATCTGTCATATCATTATTATTTATTTATTTATTTATTTATTTATTATTTTTTATTTTGAGACGGACTCACTCTTGCTTCAGGCTGGAGTGCAGTGGTACAATCTTGGCTCATTGTAACCTCTGTTCAAGTGATTCTCTGCCTCAGCTTCCTGAGTAGCTGGGATTACAGGTGCACACCACCACGCCCTGGCTAATTTTTGTATTTTTAGTAGACGCGGGGTTTCACCATGTTGGTCAGGCTGGTCTCGAACTCCTGACCTCGTGATCCACTCAGCAGGAAAGCTTCAGTGCTGGGATTACAGGCGGGAGCCACCGCACTCCAGCCCATTACATGATTTTTTAAACATCAGTGACTCTTTTAATGTAAATTCAGAATGAAGCCGAATAATCTGGTTAGCTGGGGCGCGGTGGCTCACGCCTGTAATCCCAGCACTTTGGAGCCCGGGTCACTTTTGGCCCCTTCCCTGAAACTTCCGTTCTGACAGCCGCTTTCAAGGTAAAACCCAAACCCACAGGAAGAGGAGAGTCATCATTATAGCGCTCACCCCAAATGAACAAGAATATTATAAGAATATATAAGAATATTATATGGGTAAATATGTGCCTCAGCTCAAAGGCTGTGAGACTTCTGATTCCCCACTACACTTCTCATATTTCTGCGTGTGTGGTTTTAATTCTCTGAGTAACGCTGTGTTAGCCTCCCTGACTAAGCTGGTCTCAGCACTGCTGAAACCTCTGGGAGCCCAAATATTCTGACCTTTATCAATTAATTCACATACAGAAGGCTGCAAGGCCATTAACTGTTGGTAAAAGGCAAACTGGAAGGATTTTTCAAAAAGAGACTGAAACAGAACATGAAAGTTTAACATTTAGCTAAATATCTCCATTTGCCATTCTGTGTCATTCCTAAAAATACAGATTGAGTGATAATTCAGTATACCAAAAAGCCAGACAACCTGTCTTTGCTTTACTTAAATGGTCAGAGAGTTGGTGGTATAGTATCCCTTGCCTGTAATCACAGCTCCTTTGGGAGGCCGAGGCTGGTGGATCACTTGAGGTCAGGAGTTCAAGACCAGCCTGCCAACATGGTGAAACCCCATCTCTACTAAACATACAAAAATTAGCCAGGTGGCTACTCAGGAGGCTAAAGCAAAAGAATCACTTGAACCCGGGAGGCGGAGGTTGCAGTGAGCTGAGATCTGCCAGTAATACAGCCTGGGCGATAGAGCAAGACTTCCATCTCAAAAGAAAAAAATTTAGCAGGGTAGTAGAAATAATGCACATGAGAATGATACTCATGGAAGATAAATCTGTATTCCAGAATAGTAA